CCTGATTTTTTAATTCAGCGTCTTGTCTGGACACGTTTGCTGTCAACAAATTGGCGGCTCTTCGGAAAGTGCATATTTCCTGTATTCCCCAAGACAGGCCGTTTCCCCCGATATCCAAACATTCGGGTCGACCATTCCAGATACGCATACGGCAGGACTGAAAAAGGTTCAGGCCACTAAAACATGTATTTCTCTATCAGTGTTGTAATGTGCGCAATTTCATCGCATTCAACACCTTATGAAAGAATATTTTGAACAGGATTTCGAACAATGATACCATCCCAGTCTCTTTTCATGCTGGACGGGCGTTGATGTGAGTCTCCCACGCCCGGAGCCGAGTGGATGCTTTTTTACCTCTGTGGAGACCATCCTGGAGAAAGCCTGTCTCGTGACTATCAGAAGAATATCCAGGACCGGTTTGTCTCTGAGGCCACGTTTAGTGGATGACAGACTGACGTGCTCCTCGATGCGAGATGGCGTCCTGTCCATCGCCCCACAGAGGTCCAGAAATGGTGTCACGAGAATCTTCGTTACTCTTCGCAAAGCAGACATGGCCGGGGAAACAACCCGGCACCGATCCGATCGCGGAAATGTGGAGCATCTTTCCAGCGCGATAATCTACGGGGAGGCTACAAACAACGTCTACAAGTCTAAAGGGCATTAAAAAAATCATACTCAAAAATGAAACCAATTGTGATGGACAGTCTTATTGCCAGCAAACCACACCGTGCCCGTACATGCATGAAGATTCAATGGTAATACACTGGTCACTTCACGAACGGAGCACTTTCTCACTTTAGAAAGAAAGCAGATTTCTGGGTGCACGCCAACTCCCGCCGGGCCCCGCAGTTGCAGGGTAGTTCCCACAATGGTCGTATCCGGTTGCGCGCGGTGTCCGTGTTCGGGGAGGACATGTCTGGGTCGCTGCAGAAACGCAGGTGGGGCGCATTGATTACGAAGCCGTGCGGAATAATTGACAGTTCCGTTCCCGGGCCCTGCTGTGGCTGAGCAGCCGGATGCCGCACCACGCCGTATTGACTGTGCAGGCTGCGGTCGTGCTATAACGGGGGCTTGCTCCGCCTGTTTTAATGGCGTGCACAGTTGCGCTTCGCGCTGTTCCGGTGTGGTGTTTTGGCTGTTGCCGGGGCCGCGTTGATGCTATATTGCATCTGCATTGGATAATTTTGGGCCGCTTCACAAAAAACATGAGGCTAGACCACAACAGCACCAAAACGTAGGAGCACGAAGAAATGACATGCGACAGCGAGCAGACATGGCTAGCCAGCTACCTACCTAAATTCCTTTTTAGCAAGCTTGATAGCAGACGTTTTATCTAACCACCTTTTTAGCTTATAGCTAGCTGGCATATCTTTTTGAAGACCCACAAAATTCCCAGGATCCGAATCCAAGATTCTCTTTACGTGGAACTGTATGGGTCCATTCGAACCGTATGGGTCGTGTCTGGGCTACATGGCATTTGTAGTCGCCATATACTGGAACGTATGACAGGACTGTATCGGGCCAGGGGGACATTTCGGCACAACTACTCTGCATGCAGCATGAATGTATGTCCTCTTGGGTAACGGCCATAAAAGTTATTTATGGTGCAAAAATAGATGGTGTTCCCAGCGAGCTTTTTTTCTTAGGTGCTTAACGAAGCGCCGTGACAATATCAGCAGATTAATTTATTTTCAGATCATGGATGATCTGTTATTCTCAAGTACAATGGCACCACATTTTTGTATTCCGTTCCCCCTCACCCAACTCGTCGCAACCGCCCTCCGCTGATCGTTTGCCCACTTGACGCACGGAACCGCACTGTCGTCCCCAGTTACATGCTGTCCTATCTGAACATCATCCGAGCAATGGAGCACTTCAGCTTGTTCCTGACGTACGGCATGCGCTACTTCGCCATCGGCGAGCTGCCTTCACTTTTCTTGACGCAAGCCGTGCGCTCCGACACCCTCTTCTGGGAGTACATCAACAACACTCGCTCCTACTCCAGCGAGATGTCAGAGAAGATCCATTACATCTTCGACAGGCTTCGAGGGGTACAACAGCTACATCCGACTGTAAGCCCATCAGCAGTGATGATATGCATGAGTGTTACCTGCTGATAGAGTCGTCGTGTTTTTACATGTTTTCCTGAACACATTTTTGGATATGGCGTGGTGATTATACAAATATCAAATCAAAATTCCTTCGCACTTCCTACAGGCTATGTGCAAATGTAACATAATGCATCAAAATGCTTAATCAGATCAATCCTGTTAGGTTTTGCGTAAAGGCGCAAACACATGCACACGTGCACATGATATATGTGGGCATCTGAGGTTCCGTAACTGTGCACATTCTTCACTAGGACGCAGTCGGGGTACGTTATTTTACACGCGCCTTACTGGGGAGTTTTTTTATTTCCTCTTCCTTCGTCACTCTGCGCTGATTCAGACAGCGAACCAACTCATTACTTTTAACCGAGCAAATAGCGTGTTGTGCGATTGCTGACCTCCCACCTTTAACGCCTCGTTATTCGGCGACAACTTCCAAACAAACCATCTGATATATATATATATATAAATTTTTGCACCGGAATTTTCTGACCATAGGTGTATTGAAGGGTGCAGGGAGGGCACGTGCCCCAGCCACCCTTAATCAAAGTCCTACCTGGATGTGCATGTGACTCAATGTCGACCTTAAAAATCAGTAGACATATAGGGCAAGGTCATTGAAAACATGCGATGTGGGTACACATCAAGGAATAGCATTTCGTGCGCCTCCGGGTTCTAAGTTAGGTTTTGAATCCTCGCCCTAACAGGGGGTAGGGTCGATCTGATCCCGCCTAATAGGGGGGTAGGGTCGATCCGATCCCGCCTTATAGGGTGTAGGGGTCGATTCGGTCCCGCCTTATAGAGGTAGGGTCGGTCCGAATCACGCGATATCCTACGGGGCAATACCATTCTCCGGGTCTTGGGACCAAAAAAGTTCCGCTATGATTTCTCGTTTCGGGGCAGCGGGCCGGTTTTTGAGGGACACTGAACGGCGACCTGCGCCCGGCGTAGGTGGGGGCAAGCTACCGACGATGCCACGGAACGCACGCGGAGAGGCCGACATCGTTACATTAGCAACGCGCCCGGGTGGCCGGCTGGGTACCTTTCGCTCGGGTGGGGGTCAATTTGGCCCACTTCTGAGATCTCGGAACCTAAGAGAGCTAAAGGCACCAGAGTCACAGCGTGTGTTGACCTTAACGTGAGCTCATTTGTGTCAAAATTTAGGGCTTCTAGGTCGTAACCTTTGGGTCAAATAAGGTCAAACAAAGTCAAATTTCAGGTTGGTGCCAAAAGTGCCCCCAAAATCTTGCTACCTCCCCTAACCAAAATGTCCTTGTTGCTCATTTAGGTTAAGGACCTTGGTTTGACCTTTGAAGTTCATGGACGGAAGTATACTAGACAGCCTTGAGTTTTGCATCTGAATAAGCGTTAAATATAGCTAGACAGCGTGCTCTTAAAAACAAAATATTGACCTGGGACATTTCAGGTCGTTTACTGCTCCTGAATTCAAAGAATCCATATAATATGCATCATGCGGTTCCTGTTATCAATAAATTCGCAATGAGCACCAAAAACTATCTCATCTATTAAGCTCCAGAGTAATAAAACGGGTTGGTTTTCATCGGGGCTGGCTATGTCCTGTATGAAAATTCATTATGCTAAAGCGGCGAGATCAAGGCCTTTCTGGCTAATATCAAGCAAAAGATAAGTTAGATATCAAGCAAGCAATAGTTATCTTCTTGTGGCAAGAGTATCTTAATTAAGCATTTACGGCTTCAACTAACCGTAAAAATAGTTCGAAGAGTTAAATGTTCAAAGAACTGATCGGAAGAAGTAAAAACGTAAAAGTGTTCTTTAAGAGTATCGGCGGGCTAGTTTTTACTCATCACGCAGTCAGGCCTGCTACCGTTGCGATGAAGTAGTACTGAAGTGGTCCGACTAGTTTGCTGAGGATTCTGTAGGTACAAAATAGAAGAAAGCATCACAAGTTAAGGCTTTTAGTTACAAAATATATGGTTAATTACAAAGTACGTTTACTTTTGAAAGTTTCGGAATCGCCGTATTCTTTTTAGAAATAATGACCGCTTTAAGCATTAACAATCCATGCCGATGTGTCCATGTCGACTCAATCGAAATAAGTGCTTACCAAACTACTGGGAACAGCCATATTAAGCGTAGCAATTTTCAAGCCACGGGTTGATAATAACTAGTTTTATTGTGATAGGACGGCGAGTATTTTTGCCTTTTGTTGTTGTTCCTTATAGGTGGCTTTAACCTTGCAGACGTGAGAAGATACTCACCAACGAGCCAAGAAATGGGTCTCCAGAATTCGCCATTGAGTTCTTCGTCAATGGAACTACAATGGCAGATCTTCTGCGAGATGTCCAGGTGGAGCTTAGGAACATGATCACGTGAGTCTAGCTAAGCGTTCAGATGTGCTCAGAGACATCAATACGCGATTCTACTCTTGAACTCATATGAAGCTCAGGAACCTGCTTTCAAACTGAGGCATCACCATGCTACGCTCTTATGCTTAAGACCAAGATTTGTTGCCACGCAAAACACATTTCAGTCGAATGCCGTGTGCTTGGTCCTGTCTCTTCAATGCTCGATTGTGTACCTCCTCATTCCAAGCCCTCTCAAAATTTTTTGCCAATAGACTATACGGCACACTGGCACTGCATTTGAGGCAAACGCGCCTCTATGTTAGCAAACGCCTGAGTTCGTCCGGGGTGTGGGCGGGTTTCACCTATTGGTGCTTCTGTTATGGCAATTTGTTGGAGCGTTGCATTATGGCATAGGGCAAGCGAGCAAAACTGGTAATATTTCAGGTTATCCGAATGTGCTGTGGCTGCAAAAATTACTCTTCTGAACCAGAGCTTTCTGTTCATACTTAATGGAAGATAATCTGGAAGGCCTAACCGGTTGTAGATGCATTGATTTGCTTCACCCTTTTCAATGCTTATTTTCTTATGGCAAGGTTATCCTAACTAAGTTATTCACCAAATAGTCTAAGTAAATTCCCCTTCGCGTACGGGAACTAAATTGAGTGGAAAACAATGCTAGGATGAAACTGTTACCATCATTGGAAAAACGTCTGATGCAGAATTGGCAGTACCAAGACGCGTAATGGTGGCCTATCTTACTTGCGGTATTGTAACGTTGTAAACACTGATCCTGCAGGACAAACGTGAAGGACCAGGTGTCGAGAGCGTATGGCCAGCAACTGGTGGCAATCAATGCTGCTAGTTTTGGTGCTTATTGTCTCGCCGATCATCATTCTGCTCGTGCGCAAAAATTGCCTTGACCATGCAGGTAAGTTGCGCAAGTACTGGTTTCACTACAGAATGCTCATTAAAGCTCACGTAGAAGCATAGAAGTTGCGATATATGCCGATTGAACCCTTGCCCCGACTCCTTCTTTATCCTAGCCCAGACTAATAGGGTGGGGGGGCCGATGCCATCCCCTCACCGTTTTCAACCTAACAAAGAAAAGAGCCTCGCGAAAACGCGGTGCATTGATCTCAAGGAGACCTTACGATCGTTCTTAAGCTTGATGTTTCTAAAAAATTATTATCATTATGTCGTCCGGAGGAAAATTTTCCTAAGCTTTGCACTATTTCAGCTTTACGTGCCATTATTTTGAAATCATGGCCACCTAGAAGCACGCAACTTGCACAGACATGTTCCTTGCTTACTTCTGAGCACATTTTGTACCCTGTTTTATATGTTTCGAACAGCTATTTTAATGCAGGGCTCCGTTTTCTGTGACAGTGTCGGTCCGTCGCCCCCGATCGGCGCATTCATCGGCCGCCGCCCGCCGCACGCGCCAGCCGTGGATCGCCGTGTAGTGTCCCTAAAAACCGTCGGCATTCGGAAACCAGACATGCTAGAGTCGGAGTCACGTTTTACATGTAAAAACATACTCAAGGAAACGTCTGAATTTGGGCGCGTTTACAACCAAATGTTGGAGAAATATCCTCAGAAAATCTTAGGGGGTGGGAGGGGGGGGGGAGGCTCGAGATTGTTCAATCCTTACGCGGTGATATATTTGCCATCGTTTTATCTAATATTCGTTGCTATGAAAAACCCAGTGGAACTGCCGCAGAGTATACGTTGGGCTGCATTTATTGGTGCTGAAATGCTGTTTTACAAATGCCAGTTTTTACATTTCCAGGAATCATGACGTTGGTAAAAGTCAAATAAAAAGATCGGTTCCTTCTTCACAGCAAGGCGTTTGCCAATTGCTCAGTATCACGTCGTTGAGCCGTTTTTGATGACAATCGGCTTACCCTTCAAAAGATGGTGCAAATCCTTGGAGAAAATGAAAAACTGCAATCTGGGCGACTTTACATTCCTTTGCTTACGCTGTCGATGTGCAGCGGTATTGCATAGTGCAGCTATGGTACGTCATGCTGTTGACACCTGCTCCCAAGTTAGCAAAACCACGTCTGGTTCGGTCCATGCTCAGATTGCACTTTCATCAAAGACTCTCTTTTGTCCATTGTATCAGTCAGTTGTATTGGCTATTTGAAGTTTACATGTAGCGTGCAACATAGGAGACTATTGGGCTCATGAAAAATAATCGCCCATCTATGTCAGCTGAGATGCTTTTAGCACCACCTTTACGCGGAGTTAAACTATATTGACGCCTAAGCAAACTAGTACAATCCTTTAACCGGGCTGAGTTTCATGCATTTCTTCCCGCCTGCAAACCTACAACCTCACGTCAATGGCTTTCCCTCAGAATTTCACCGAGATGGTGGCAGCTAAAACCATGGAGATTTCGCGAGAGAAAAAGAAAGGCGGACCGCTTGCTGTACCAGATGCTGCCGGAAGCCGATCGCCAGGCAGCTGAAGGGAAAAGGACAGGTACCTGCCGAGTCCTTCGAATCTGTCACCGTCTACTTCAGCGACATCGTGGGCTTTACCAAAATCTCGTCACAGAGCTCTCCCATGCAGGTGAGTAGCGGTGCGCTCGCGTTATGACTGAAGTACGTTGAAAACGGGGCGTGAGCATAAATCGGGTGGAGCGAGCTCTGAGATTTCATTGTTCAATTAGTTCAAGCAGATCCTTTTCAGATACAGTTCAGTACACGTAAGTTTCCACTGTTTTCTGTATGCACGTTAGCATTGCCCCCCCCCCCCCCCCCTCCCCCGACGACAGCAGAAATCCGATGTGTTTCATTTAATTCCCATCATTTGAGAAGGTCGACCAAACCAAGACTATAGAAACAATAGGACCAAAGAACCTACAGAAACAATTGGCACAAAAGGACCGAAGACCGAACCACTTGAAGTTATGGCTACAGGTAATGAGGATGAACGTGCTTAGTCGTCCTTAGATTCTCTGCACTTCAACCACTTTTATCAGATCGAGTCGATTTTGAAGCTCTAATAAAAGCATGTGTTCTGACGCACATGACGAACAGAATGATTTGATCTCAACAGCTTTGTGTGCTACGAAATGTAAAACATTTCAGATGCCCTTAAATGTCCGCCACAGATCACATTTTTTCCGGGATCTCGTGGAGCCTTGTCGCAAGTAATGGCCTCTCAGGGCATCTTTGGCCTTAAAATGGTCATGAGTGGGCATTTGTAGTGCTCAGAGACTAAGATGAACAGATGGTAAGATACCAAAAGGAGATGGTAAGATGGCTGTGGCCGGGGCAGTCGGCCTGCTCTTGGCTGTGGCCGGAGCAGTCGGCCTGCTCTTGGCTGTGGCGGGGGCAGTCGGCCTGCTCTTGGCTGTGGCCGGAGCAGTCGGCCTGCTCTTGGCTCGGGGGGGGGGGGGGGGGGCAGTCGGCCTGCTCTTGGCTGTGGCCGGGGCAGTCGGCCTGCTCTTGGCTGTTGCCGGAGCAGTCGGGGCCTGCTCTGGCTCGGGGGGGGGGGGGGGGTGGGGGGGCAGTCGGCCTGCTCCTCGGCTGTGGCGGGGGCAGTCGGCCTGCTCTTGGCTGTGGCGGGGGCATCGGCCTGCTCTTGCTCGGGGGGGGGAGGGAGTGTCGGCCTGCCCCTGGCTGTGGCCGGGGCAGTCGGCCTGCTCCTGGCTGTAGCCGGGGGCAGTCGGTCCTGCTCTTGGCTCGGGGGGGGGGGGGGCAGTCGGCCTGCTCTTGGCTGTGGCGGGGGCAGTCGGCCTGCTCTTGGCTCGGGGGAGAGGAGTCGGCCTGACCCCCTGGCTGTGGCCGGGGCAGTCGGCCTGCCCCTGGCTGTGGCCGGGGCAGTCGGCCTGCTCCTGGCTGTAGCCGGGGCAGTCGGTCTGCTCTCGGCTGTGGTCGGGACAGTCGGCCTGCTCCTGGCTGCGGTACACCTGGCGCTGGCCCGCTGCTAGGTGCTGGGACGGCTAGCAAGCCACGGACAATAGCTGTCCCACGGGAGGCCTGCATTCGTTCTGTTCGCCTGTCGTTGGATGGCTACAAACAACGAGCAATCTCAAGACACTGACAAAATGATCACCGGCGAAATAGTGTGCGACGGTTGTTCCAGGAAACCGTTATCGAGCACCGTTTAAAAAAAAAAACTAAAATTAGATGGCGTGCCACTGAAATTTCACTGGGTGTTCACTTCACGCTTTCTTTCCTTTCTTCCAGAATGCAAACGCTAGTTGATGGGACATGAGTGGGTTCCCATTGTTGCCACGTATGGCCACAGGACACCCTGCCAAGGTCGTCGATGTCATGAATACGCCGCTGAGGGTAGGCAAGCACAGCTAATGAGTGACAAACGACAAGCATCAGCTTTTCTCATAGCCAATGGTTAGAAACGTCTAGCTGGTGGTGCGTCGGAAAGGTATGCGTATAAGCGTTTGAAAGTGAAATTCTAATAAGACTAAACCGGTGAAAAATTTAAGAGTTTGTCTGTTTTAAGATTATCTCTGTTTTAGTTCCAAGTAATAGACTACAGGCATTGCCATGAGGATCCAGCCATCTGAGCCTTTCACAACGACGAGTAAGCCACAAATGATTCAAGAAACACTTGTCATAGTGTGTCGAGCGATGGTGAGCACATATAGGAATATGGCCGTCCGCCGCCGACACCGCCACACCGGACCGATCCGAGGCTGCCGAGCCACCGCCTGGCATGGCGCCGCTTCCCGTAGGTCACTGGTCAGTGAGCCGGCCGCTGCCCCGCTGTTCCCCATATGGTGCGAACCACGCGGGGTCGCCCGCTCGTCATGCGCCGCTTTCCGGCTCACCTCTGCTACAGCCCAGCCGCGGCGACGCCCGCCGGAGCACTGTCCAGATTAGACCAGTTGGCGCCGGCGGTAATGATCCCGTAACGAGGCTAGTGCCGTTACGTAATATTAACGCACGCTACCTAGGTGCGGCCCGATGGTACACCAGCCATAAAGGTGACAACCTGCCCTGGAGAACACCAACTTGATTCATGCCCAAACGATTCGTGTATATATATATATATATATATATATATATTAAAGGAATGATGCTGTCCATGTATAAACCACATAACAGGACAGTTAAGTTTTTTGATTGTTGAACACAACAGGCGTATACACAGCGTGAAACGCCCGTGCTAATGACCTGACCGTTTTTACTCTTGTTGCCCATATCATCGTCCAGATCGCACCTGTCCTTGCTCATTTACTAGGCTCACTGCAAAACTTGAGATGCTAGGCATATTGGACTGATCGATCACATTTTCCTACACTGACTACGCTTCCGTGTAGCCGTAGTGCTAATGGCTTGATTACTATCATAATCGTGCGCGACATTTCCACACTCAAGCGTTTTATGGTCTCGCAATGTAATTTCTCCGAGTTACTGGACTCGGCTCCGCCTCACTCAATAACTCCAAGTAATATTCCGTGGTTCCCCGCCCGTCCTGCCAGACTGTGGGGCAGGCAACACCATATAGTCCCAGCAGCTGAGTGCGTCGTAAAAGCCTCTATGACAACGAGAACCCGAATACATAAAAGCGTTTGGCAATAAAACTGTAGAAACGGAAGGGGCAAAATGGGTTTACATAGTGCAGTCATAAATGTCTTACTGACATTGATTTATCAATGCGTCATTTAGACCCAGTTATCTATCACAAACCGGTTTAACAAAATCACTTAGGTCAGCTGTTGTAAGCTGACCCTACATGGGCATGACATCATATGCTATAAGTATGGCGGACCCCGACTAACAGTTGAATTTCTCGATGATTTACATAAAAGAGATTCGGAACAAGAGACTGTAAACTGCTGCATGAGGCAGACATGTACGCGCAAGGCCTTGCCACCTTAAGGCAGCAGCCCAGATCAGTAGGGCGAATACGATAAATATACAACCGGCTGGATGATGTTGACGTGAACCACCCGAAAATAAATGTATGGTCGTGTGGCACATCAACGTGGATCAGCAGCGGCTGCGGAAGTAGACCCTGACATCATCGTCTTCTCCGTTTCAGGTTGTGACGTTTCTTAACGTGCTGTACAAGCTGTTTGACAGCCGGATAGATCGGTACGATGTCTACAAGGTCGAGACTATAGGCGACGCATACATGTGCGTCTCGGGACTACCTAGTCGAAACGGTACGCTCATTGTGGCCGCATTGCGACTTCGGTCTTCAGTTCCCCGAATCGGAAGTTGCAATCACGGCATTTTGCGGTGATGGTATTCAATGATTCGGTATCCATAGAAGTGTATGTGCACGTGCGGATACCCGCACGCACGCATACAAGCATGCATGTCCCCACGCACGCACGCACGCACGCACGCACGCACGCACGCACGCACGCACGTTTGCTCGCACGCACGCACATTTTGTGGTGTCAGAGATGAGTGAACTATCTACTACTATCTCACTATCTACTACTATCTCACCCAGAGTCACGGTGAAGGGGACAGCTCCATTATGCCCTGAAGTGCATTATGGTGGGCTAGCACCGCGTCACTTTGCTAAATTGGCTGTTGTCTACTCTTCGCCGCGATGAGGCGAGGCACGGAGCTAGCCTTACTTCGCTGGTGTAGCTCCGCGCGACCCAGTGCACTTGCAGGATTTGCGCATTTAGGAGGCATCATCTTAGTGTGGAATGCCCCCCTCCCCCTTCCCCCTCCCTTCCCCGCCGCCGCGGGGAGACGCAGCTGTCCCCACAGACTTACGCCATACTCGAGATGCCCGCACCCGTCTATTGCATTCTGGACTGATCAAGAGGCTACTCGCGCCAGTTTGCCAGGATAAAAAGAGAGCGCCAGGGAGATTAGTACGTAGCAGCCACTCGACATGGTGAGCAGGAAGTTCCAGGACGGTGGGAAATGTATAGTAGATGAAGCTGTGTTTTCGTGTGAGCTCCTGTGCTTTTAAGGACGACTGGCTGATGTCGGGCGTATCACAACGGGAAAAATAACCGCGTTGAAAGAATTCGACATTCCTTGCAGGCATTTGAGCCAAGATTTGGCTCCTGAAAGGAATGCTCCACATATGAAGATATTGAGGCAAGCATCAGATGTGTCAACAAAAGCTCACGTTTTACTATCGGTACACTTTTAAGTGGAAGAGACTGCTCTAGACAACACCATTTTTCTTTTTAGTTAATATGCTGCTCAATACATCATTGTTCGCTTGCGCGATGAAGCGCTTGCATGGCGTTGAGGTGCTGCCAAACTAGCCGTGCGAAATGACCACCATGGCGTTCATGTGCAGTGCTTAACCTCGCCGAGAGATGGCAGTGTCGGTCATGGAAGTGTTCGCTGAGCCAAATATCGTTATATGCTCGTGTTCTGGCCGCTTCTTGGGATGCTCTTGCAAATTTCTCATTGAGTTTAGGATGTTTGCTTGTATTTACATGCTCGCTTATGGCGCTATTTCTGATTTATTCAATTACATGTCTTATATTATTAAACACTAGCAATCACGTCCAAGTGTTCACATTGTGTAGCGCATGCAGTTGCGTGGGCTCAATTTGATGGAACAGGTTTTCGTCAGTCGATTCGGTGGCCAAAGACCCATCTGACACGACCTCAGCAAGTGGTTTGCTCCTTTTGCGGCTCTCAGCCAAGGAGTCCTTTTTTCGCATCGTCGATTTCGTCACTTTTCCGTTCGCTCTAGCTCCAAACACACCTTTTCGCTTAGTTTTTGTTCTCCTCTCGCTCCCCTGATATGGGGAAGCGAACCAAACGTAAGAAGGGTGATACCGACACTGACTCGAACTCGGCCTCTGACCTCGATAATGCCCTGGACGTAGACGATGGAAGTATCGCCAGCCCCGCTTTTGCTGCCACCGTCACCTGATGACCCCCGCGCGCCCCAGGCCATGACCGTTCGTACGCACACTTCCACCGCGGTGGGTGGACAACGGGCTTCGTCTCCGTCCAACGCCACCAGTTCCGACCCTCGCTCGTCTTTGACCACTCCGGTGCCCGCTCGCCCTGATGCTGACCCTCGCTCGACAACGACCAGTGTTCGCCAGCCCTCTGAGCCAATCCTGGATGCTCTCGGATCGTACGTTGTCGTCCAACCTTGTGACGAAGATGTGTCGTTTCGAAAGATCAACGTTTTTTGGCCATCAAAGCAAATCAAAGCTATCTGCGGTCCGTGCGAACTCCAGATTGAAGCGCCAGCAAACGGATCACTCATCATCAAAACAACCACTCGCGCGCAAACCAAGGCCCTACTCAAAACAGCTGAATTTTGCGGCAAACAAGTCAAAGTCTCGCTGCACCATGCCAGAAACACCAGTAAGGGCACCATCTTCGCGCCTGAGCTCCGCTTCATGACGGAGGACGAGATCCTAGCGGAGCTCAGAGATGAGCAAGTTTGCCATGTCCGTCGGCTGACGACTTTCAGAGATGGTCAGCGTCACGACACCAGCCTGCTTGTTATCACCTTTGGTACCACCCGACTTCCAGATTCGCTCACCGCTGGTTACCTTCGTTATAAAGTAAGAGTATTCATTCCAAATCCACTCAGGTGTTTTAAATGTCAACGGTTCGGACACGGCAGCAAGTACTGCAAACAGAGTGCCAGATGCTTGAAGTGCGGCGAGACTCCTCACGAGGGATCTGCCTGCACATCACCCCAGAAATGCCTGAGCTGTGGAAGTGCTGATCACGCCGCCAACTCTTCTCAGTGTCCCACGTGGAAAAAAGAAAAAGAAATTTGTTCTGAAAAGGCAAAGACAGGTGTGTCGTACCCCGAAGCACGGCGCACCGTTGAAACTAAAATGTCGTCGCAGCCCAGCAAAACATATGCCCAAGTAGCAAAAGCCACGATGGCCACATGTGCAACACAGACCGACCCTATCACCCATCTGCCTCCTCTGAAACTTCTCAACCCTCGCCCCTCGGTTTCAGTTGAGTCAACTACGCAGACCCAGACGAAAAATGCCGTTGAGTCGCCCTTGGCTGGACGTTCGGATGCCCAGGCGCCCGTGCACCCCTGTCCCCAGGTCGGCCGGCGTTCCAGCCCGCCGGCTGTGAGTGATTCACGCGCGGGTCAGGCCGTCCGGCGTTCTAGCCCCCCGGCTATGAACAGTCGGCGGCCCGGACCCTCTGGCCACCACACAACATCACCTCCCCTTCCCCCACCACAACACCTGTCGAAACACGCCCGAACGAAGACCGCCGGTCCCGTCCACCGGTGAGGGTGGCGATGGGACGGCCTAGGTCTGTTTCGTTCGGGCGATTCCCATCAACCGGTGGGAATGGATCCCTTCATCACTAAATGTCTTTCATCTTACAGTGGAATTGTCGCGGTCTCATTTCAAAATGGTCCGAAATGAAAGCACTTTTTGCCGTACTAACTCCAATCATCATTGCCGTACAGGAAACATGGTTTCGTCCCACCGACACATATAACTTTAAAATGCCAAATTACTCGTTATATCGCTATGACACGATGGACGGTGAGCGTCGCCAAGGTGGGGTGGCGCTGTACATCAGTCAAAAATTAACACACACGCCACTCACTCTTAACACACCTCTTCAGGCTGTTGCAAGTTCAGTTCGACTGCATGGCCGTACCATCGATATATGCTCAATATACATTACACCAAATTATAATAATACGAGCTCTTACGGCAACTTGACCAACTCGTTGCTCAATTTCAAAACCCTTTTCTCATCCTGGCGATCTCAACGCTCACAGTCCAGCTTGGAGTAACGGCACCCAAGCCGTTAATCGCCGAGGACATTTGGTTGAAGATTTTATTGATACACACAACTTAGTCCTGTTAAACAAAGGCAATAATACTTATCACCACTTACCCACTGGTACAGAAACAGCCATCGACCTGTCGCTGTGCTCTCCCTCAATAGCAACGTACTTTGATTGGACTGTTGAGGGAGATATACACGACAGCGACCATTTTCCAATTAAACTTTACACTACTTTTGACGCAACCGCTGACGAAGTTTTGCGATCCATACCCCGCTGGAATTTACGAAAAGCAGACTGGGCCAAATTTCAAGAACTTTGTTATGTGAACCGTGACTGTTATGAATCACCAGAGCAGGGTGTTGGCCTTATTACACATATTATTCATGCTGCAGCAACCGCGACAATTCCACTAACTAAAACGCCATCACGCCGCATCCCAGTACCATGGTGGACGACCGAAGTTAAGAACGCTATTGCGCGTCGGAAACGTGCTTTCCGCTGCTTTCGTCGCCACCATGATGTACCTCATCTTCTTGCCCGAAATTATGAGCGTGCTCGAACCAGACGAATTATAAGGAGTGCCAAACGTCATTCTTGGCAAGCATACATCCAGCAGTTCACTGCTGCTACTCCCCTAAGCCAGCTATGGGGACTGGTTCGGGCACTTTCCGGAAAACGCACCTCTATTTCATTGCCCACTTTACGCATTAATAACCAAATCATTTCGGCAACACCTCTTATCACCAATGCTCTTGCTGAAAGTCTTTCTCAGTGTAGCTCATCCGGAAATTACCGACCAGGATTTGTGGAAACTGCGCAAGCCCGTTTTCGTTTACATACTGATTGTTTTGTTTCCGATAACACCGAAGACTATAATTTACCATTTTCATTTCTAGAACTACAAAAGGCTATAAAATCCGCCGGCAACACCTCAGTTGGTCATGATCAGTTACACTATTCTTTTTTTCGTAATCTTTCAGAAGATATGCTTCGTTTTATATTGGCAGTTTTTAACGATTTGTGGTCAACCCGCGCCTTTCCTGACTCCTGGAAAGACACCATTATTATTCCACTTGCAAAGCCAGGAAAAGACACCAAAGATCCATCAAATTATCGTCCCATTGCACTTACCAGCTGTCTAGGAAAACTTTTTGAGCGGATGGTGGTGAAGCGAATCTCTTGGATTGTAGAACGAGACTGCCTGCTTACAAAAAATCAATGTGGTTTCCGACACAATCGTAGCACAATAGACCATATCACCAGACTTGAAACTGACATTAGACGTTCCTTTAAACATCAACACTATACGACTGCTGTATTCCGGGATATCAGCCGAGCCTACGACATGGTCTTTAAACCTGCACTAATTTTCAAGCTCCACCAGTTAGGGTTTAAAGGCCATTTGGCACATTATCTTATTGGGTTTCTTTCCGG